ATATATATATATATGTTTATAGTATGTATAGTAGCGCTAAACGTCCGTATATATTTATTCGGATATTCATAGAACTACTGCATGCGGAGTTGCTGCTGCCTTCAGTCGATGTGCTTGGCATACGCGAAAGGCTGCCTTGCATTTAACGAAGTCGGGAATACACACTTCAGTATTTCTGCCCAAGTTGAGGGACCTCATTGGGGAGCGGGAGCCAACAAACCGCCTGGCTATAATTCAAGTATTTCTTCCTTTTTTTCCTTTTATCTCCCTTCCTCTTTCCCGCATTATTCTTTCCTCTTTCTCGATATCGCTTCTGTAACCATAAAGAAAAATGCAGCACCAGGTGTACCGACACCCCTTCTTCTCTGCCTGCAGGCCAAAGTCGCTGGAGCCATTATTGGGGCCCTCACTGGGATGATTCGCAGCTGCGACGAGGTACACAGCCAAACCCTAAACCCTAAACCCTTAGACAGCGTTCGACCCCTAACCAACACGAAATTCTAAACACTAAAACAGCATAAACTTCTGTACCCGAAGAAATATAATTCTGTTCGGGTGAATTCTTTAACATGGACAGCGTAATAACATTAAACCCTACACCCTACACCGTACGCCACAACAGGTTACAGGTTGCTCGTTCGTGGGGCATTTGGCGTATTTCCTCTTCTTGGGACTTATGGATGTTGAATGCTTAAGTGGGCGTACACCGCAGGCTATGGACATGTGTTGCGACAACTACCATCTCGTAGACCTCCTGCTGCCTGCCCTCAAGGAAGAAGCAGCAGACCCCGTCATTCTCGCTGCCAGTTGCATCGGTACATGCAGCCTGCTTTTTCCCTCCACTTTCTACTTCACAGCGTGACAAACATGCGCGTACACTCGGAGACACTCTCTTCGTGGTTGTTGCAACGTTGGCGCATGCGGCTCTGGGGGATAATTATTGTTGGCAGTGACAGCATTTGCTCGCAGATATGCATGCATGCGTGCATGCAGGAGTGAGGGTAATCCTCGAAAATCCTCGACAGCGTAATGAGCTTCTGCAATACGTAACAGAAGAAATGCAAGGATTTGAGGGTCTGCTGCAGTACTTGGGGGGTACCCGATACACCACAATGTGTGACAGAGCGGAGTTAGCTCTGCGCAACGTAAACCAGGTAATTTACTGCTTGAATCCCCTGCTTGTCTCCTTTTCTTTTTTTTTTATGCGGGCTACTGGCAGTTGGTCTCCTTTTCATTATTCCTTTTGCTAGTGCCTGCAGCTCTTCGTCAGTTTTTACAGACCACGCCAGATATCCAGCCGCTAGTAGACAATTAGTGTTTAGAAATTAGGGTTTAGGGTTTAGGGTTTCGGGTGTTGCGTGCAGCTTCCTTACGTTCCTGAAAGGGTTCCTTTGACGCGGCTGACAAATATTTATGCCTGCCGAGTATTGGCCTCCATCTGCAGCTTTTTAGCTTACTACTTAGGAGAGGAGAACGACCTAGTCGTGCAGGTGTGCATACACATTCTGCAAAGGAGACACTTCTGTAGCTGTCTCCTCCTGCATGCACTGCACAGGTGGCACTTGGGTACCTGTCTCCTTCCTCAGACACAGCACAGACACAGACACGGACAGCAGCATGCGTATTCAGATGTGTTGTGCATGCGCTGCAGGGTGTTGCAGAGAGACTGTTTGCTGCACACCGAGAGAAGGCCATTGTTGACGTACTGGAGGTCAAGAACGAGGAGGTCCTTGTTGCTGCAGTAGAGTGTCTAAACAGCATGCCTCTTCGTTATATTACAAAGGAGACAGTAACTCTCCTTATTAAACTTATATGCAGACTACCCTATCCGCATGCAGGTAAGATGGCCGCCTGACACTGCAACTGCTTCCGTCAGTGCTGGCATCTCTGCTGCTGCAACTGCCTCTGTTGCTGCTGCTGTCTCTGCACCTGGTGTCTTGTCGATTTTAGTGTGTGTCTTTATGTGTACGTTCGTCTTTTGTGTTATCTGTGCATTTTCGTTTGTGTCGTTCTCCTGCGGTGTGTCCCTTGGATGCTCTTTATCTCTTGCTTTCTGTCTTCTTGTGCATGCATTGCGCTGTCTTTGCTGTGTCTTTATATCCCCCGCTGTAAGTATCCGTGTGTGCAGGGGACACTTTGTGTGTTGTCTCCTTTTTTCTCAGGCTTGACGTCTTCTGTGCTGCAGTCTGTTATAAAGTTGTTAGGGCGCTTAGCTGCCTGGGAGTCTCCGCAAGTGCATGCAGTGCTGTGGGGAGAGCATGCACTTGAGTCTGTTGCTGCTGTCTTTGATGTTATATACAAGAACTTATCAACCCTAAGAGTACCAGCTAGGTAAGTAATTTATCCTCTTTTGTCTCCTTTTTTGTCTCTTTTTTTATCTAGTGTCTCCTCGTTCATCTTTACAGTGTCTGCTTCCTCTGTACCCAGCGACACTTCCTCTTGTGTTGCGGTCCTACAACTGTCTTCCTCAGTTGCAGGGGTAGTATACTGGGATCGTCTCCAAAGGAGACACTTGGCTGGGGCTTCCTTGCATGCATGCACCAATATGCTCTGTTGTTTTGTGCAGAAAAGCAGTTATTGAGAACATGCATGCACTCAACAAAGTTGGGGTACATTTTCTTCTTACTGCCTCACGCGTGGAGTCCACCAGGGACGTCATGCGGTGAGCTATGGGATCATAAACCCTAAACCCTATACCCTAAACCCTAAACCCTATGCAGTTGAGGCGGAAAAGGGTCTATCGACAGTCCGACGCGAGCTGCCTCCTCCTGCCTCGTTTGCACAGTCATCTCTCCCTGCTCTGTAGCCGAAACCCTAAACCCTAAACCCTAACAGCGTACACTCAAGTATGTCTGCAAGTGTTCAGACTGAAGCAAGTGGTGTCTCTGTTTGCTCCTGTATTGGAGGCGGAGCAGCAGCTGCCTATACACCCCGATGGCTTCGACGTCGTGGTGGAGAGGACGTGGGTGGGGAGGGACGTCGCTGTGCTGCTTACTTGCCTCTCTGGCAACCATAAACTAAACCCTAAAAAAAAAGAAGGGTTTAGGGTTGTCTGCAGACTTGCTGATATTATCCAGGGCTGGCCTGACCTCCCCGATGCTGGGAAAGAACTCAGCCTCAGGGTAAGGAGAGCGTGTCTCCTTTTTTTCTCTCGTTTTTTTTCGTGGTGTCGTCTGTCTTCTTCTCCGGTCATGGAAGCCCTTCTGTCTTTGCTGCTGCTGCTGTTGCTGCAGACACTGTGTAACAGAGAGGCAGAGATGTGGGACGACGATGCTGCGATGAGGAGACACCTCGAAATGGATGACGGAGAGGAATCAGAAAGAGCACCACAGCAGACAGCAAGTCAACACGAGGGTTTAGGGTTTAGGGTTTAGGGTTTACTGATCCCAGTGGGGAGGAAAGCTCTCCAGTCTGTTATTGTCTCTGTCTCCTTCCCTAAAATTAATAGCTTGCATCTTTTATTCCCTTCGTCTGTTGATTTCACCACGAGTTGCAGCAACCGGGGTTTAGGGTTTAGGGTTTAGGGTTTAGATTTTGTCGAATTCTGCAGGATTTCGTCCGGCTCTGCGTCGCTGAGAGGTTGTCTCTTTTGTTGGCCCCGCTGTGCAACCACAGTACAACCCAACGATATTCGTGAGGCTGTCTCCTGCAGCAACTGCAGCAATAGTACAAAATGCAGCAGCAGCAGCAACGGCTTGCGATGTTGCTGCTGCACTGCGATAGCCGAGGGAGCAACAGTTGTGGCCGAGGACAACAACACCAGCTGCGCCAAATGAAACTTTAAGGGTTTAGGGTTTAGGGTTTAGGGTTTGGGGTTTATGTGCTGCAGGAGACAACGAGCATTGAAACAACACGCGGAGTACTGGGCTGGACGTCTTAAGGCGGACATCGAGGACACAGAGGAGGAGATAGCAAGGGCAAGTCTTGTCTTTGTCTCCTTTTTCCTTCTTTTTTATATAATGTATATAAGGAGATAAAATATTTGTCTTCGCCTCTTAATATAACAAAGACATAATATTTATTTAGATGTCCCCTTTAATTAAGAATTAAAAGTGCTGCTGTTGCTGCTGCTGTCTGTGAGCAGGCGGAAGCAGAGGCAGCAGCAGAGGAGGAAGAGGAGCAGTATGTGTTGCAGCAGCCGCAGCAGCGGAGCGAACTGGCTAGAGCAATTAAACAGCAGAAGCCTAGGAGCTGGAAGGAGAGGCTGCAGAACAGAAATAGACCCCATGGAGACCACGCAACAGGTAGCAACAGGATGGGGCACACCTGGCCCTCGTTGGGGGAGGTTTGGAAGGGTTAGGGTTTAGGGTTTGAGGGACTTGTGCAGGGTTTAGGGTTTGGAGGATACTACGGTTTTATTTTAGCATTTGAGGGATGATGTTAGGGTTTAAAGTTCGCAGGGTTTAGGGTTTAGGGTTTGCGTATTTTTGCTAGGGTTTAGGGTTTATTGTATATATAATCCTTTTCTTTTTACTTATACAGGAAGGAGGAAAAAACCACCAGATCCATTAGAGGCACTACAAGACAACCCCATCTATGCTGACCTCTACGGCAAGTCCCAAGAAGGCCCAACGGTACGCTGCATGCATCAGTGGGCGTCTGCAGCAACAACAGCAGCATCAGCAGCACCAGCTTCTGCTGCTGATGTACCAACCGCAGCAACGCCAGGAACAGAAGCAGCAGAAGCAGCAGAAGCAGCAGAAGCAGCAGAAGCAGCAGACGTTGCAGCAACACCTAAACAAACTACTATTACTACTGCTGCTGTTGCTGCAGTTGCTGCTTGGATATTTCCTGGAGTGTATGTGTCTGCTTTATTTTATTTCGGGTGTATGCGCAGGGTCGCGAGCGTCTAATGCAGGAGCTGATGGCGACAGATCTAGAGCCAGGTGCTGTCCATACACCGCAGCGTTTGTTGCGTTCTCTTCTTGTATGTTGTGTCTTGTTGTGCAAGCGTTGCATGAACTGCATGCAGTCTATCAATGCATGCAATGCTGTTGCATGCACAGGACTGTGGGGCTGCTGTGTCCTGCTAATATACAGACCCTGAGTTAGCTGCGATGTATTTAAATAATATAGTTGATCTATATGGAGATGATGGGGTACGTTGTTCTTAACAACCCCACCTTATAAACACACTAGTCAAGGGGCGTAGTACTACTCCTTCTGTGGTATAAAAACAGTCTCTTTCTTTCTCTCTTCCTCCTCCTCTCTCCCTTCCCTCTGTCGCCTTTCTATTTGCAAGAACTTCTCCTCTTATATGCAGGGGAAACCTGTCTCCTTATTTTCCTGTCTCCGTTTTTGTCTCTTTGCAGCTGTGGGCAAATTTCCATGCCTCAGAACTCCAGCCGTGTTACATTATTGCAGCCACCTTGAGGTAGGTAGTTGCTGCAGCAGCAGCAGCAGCAGCAGCTGCTGCTGCTGCTGCTGCTGCTGCTGTTGTTGCTGCTGTTGCTACGACACACTTCAAGGGTAGTTGTAAAGGAGTATCCTGTCTCCTTTGCATGCCTATAATTATTGTATAATTTATTGTATTTGCTGCTGCTGCTGCTGCAGGCTGCTGTATGCAGCAATAGAATATCCGCAGATAGCAGAAGCAAGAGAAGACACCGTAAATGTCTGCAGACGTCTTGTCTATCTTCGTTCCCTTACTGCCTTGGTAATACAATTTTCCCCTTCTTCTTCCTTTCCTCTTCCTGCTCCTTTCGTTTCTTTCCCTTATTTGCGTTGCTTGTTTTTGTTGGGTGTTGGTGTTTGCCGTTGTTTGTTGTTGTTTGTTGTCTGTTATTTGTTGTTTGTTTACCTGCTATTCTTGGGTAGTGCAAGATTTAGGGTTTAGGGTTTAGGGTTTAGGGTTTAGGGTTTAGGGTTTAGGGCTTACGGCGTGTGCACAGGTGGAGGCAGTCCCGTTTTTGGCAGCAAACGTCGGGGCAAAGTTTTGCCGACTAATGCAGAGAGTCCTCCGACTAGAGCCACATCAGCCTGTATGCTTTTTTCTGCATTTATTCGTCGTTTTTCTTTTTTCTTTTTTCTTTTCCTTTTTTATTTATATTTATTTATATTTTGTTTATTTTCTTCTGAATTGTCAATTCAAGGGTTTGTGGTTTTTTTAGTGTTTTGTTTATTGGAGTTTCGCAAGCCTTCATCAATGCTGCGCTGCACCCGCTGCCGAGGGTTTAGGGTTTAGCGTATAGGGTTTAGAGTTTAGGGTTTAGGGTTTAGGTTGCGGGTGGCGGTGCTGCAGGCGGAATCGATGGACCTTATCCTCAACTATGATATTGTTGCGGAGTAAACCCTAAACACCTAACCCTAAACACTAAACCCTAACCACATACCCTACGCCTGTACCACCAAGTGCTACCGAAAACCTCAACCTAAATTCGAGACGCTAAACCCTAAACCCTAAACCCTAAATTGGAGAAGGAGATGGACGTCTCTGCAGGTGCACTCGGCGTATGATGTCACCCCTTCACCATCTTATTCGTCAGTCCTCCAGCCGTCCGTTGGATATAAGAGAGCAAGTAAGGAGTCTAGGGTTTGTCTTCATATTAGGGTTTAGGGTTTTGTTGTACATATTGAGGGTTTATCATTAATGCCCTTAACGTACAACAACAAGGGTGTATTTGTTGAATCTCTGCTGCTGCTGCTGCTGCTGCTGCTCCTGTTGTTGCGTAGATATTGTGCGTAGAATTGGCTGCCCTCTACGCATGCATCGCCCGCCAGATTCCTTATGTAAAGTTTTCTACAGAACGTGATGTACAGGTATGTTAGTAAAATATACATAATATATTTATCTATATGTATAGATTATTTATATATTGTATGTATATTGTATACATACCTTCATATAAACTAAAACTCGATTCAAGCTGAGGGGAAAGAAAAAAAGGGAACGGGAAATTCTCTTGCATGCAGTCATAAAGCCCCAAAATGTGTGCATGTGCATGCAACAGGATTGGGCAGTTGAACGAACGTACGAGCGTCTATTTCCTTCCTCTATCATAAAAATCTTCGTGGCTATGTTGCTGATGGATTTGGCTATCGACTCAGGCAGCTCACAGTACGCTTATTGACACACAACACACGAAATGCATGCATGCGTGCATGCATTCCATGCATGCATGCATGCATGTTGTTTTACCTCTCTCTATGTGTCTTTGTGCCTCCCTCTTCTTGGGGAGAAGACGCAAAGATATATTACCTTTATCTCCTTATGCTGCTGCTCTTGTTGCTGTTGCTGCAGTGGTAGCTACGTCTCCCATCTAATGGCCCGTCTAGCTCCACAAAGGGAAAGTAAGTTCTTAAGATATCGACACTCCAAACCCTATCGAGGGTTTACTCCAATAAACGCTTCAGGGAGTAAACCGGTATCCTTATCCTCCCTCCTGTTTGCTGCTGTTGCTGCTGCTGTCGCTGCTGCTGCTGCTGCTGCAGGGATGCGCGTCGACTGCATTGATATCCTCTCCGCCCTCATGCAGCACTGCCCAGAGAAACTAAGCTTCGAAGCCATGGAGGCTCTGCAACATGTCGGTGCCTGGCCAGCCCAAACCCTTAACCCTAAACCCTAAACCCTAAACCCTCATGGAACCCAAAACTCACAGAATGTCTAAATTGTGCCCTTTAAACGCATGTTTACTCATTCACGGGCTGATTCCGAGGTTTTACGGTTTAGGGTTTAGGGTTTAGGGTTTGGAGGTATCTGTGCAGGCACGTATCTTTCTCCACTACCCGATTCGCCCTTCAGTGATGTACGAGTTGTTGGACCTGACAAACGTCCAGTACTTTAAGCGAACTCTCGTAAGCTGTTAGGGTTTAGGGTTTAGGGTTTAGCGTCTAGGTTCTAGGGTTTAGGGTTTAGCGTCTAGGGTTTAGGGTTTAGGGTTTTGCTTTTGCTGAGTGTGCGACCAGGAGCTGCTTCTCTCTGAGCACTCGAAAACTGCTGAGAGGGTTTTGCAGATTGCTCCTGTTTTGTGGTACAATGCCCTTATACATGAGGACGGTGAGCTCTGCAAGCGGGAAACCCTAAACCCTAAACCCTAAACCCTGCCTTAAGGCAGAGTGCAACGAGTGATTCAGCTCCTCATGTGTACTCGCAAAAGGGTTTAGGGTTTACGGTTTAGAGTTGGCTGTTTTGCAGGGGAGCCTGTCCGCGTAATGGCGGTAGCGACGAGCCGCAGCTTCTACATTGTGGAGAGGCCTGCAGGATTGTAAGTACAATTCTGTCTAGGGTTTAGGGTTTAGTGTTTAGGGTTTATTGTGTAGCTAAAAGTTGTATGTTTTATGAATGGTGTTTTTCTGTTTTCTGCTTGCATCCATGGATTGTCGCTGGATGCATGCATGCAAACTAAAAAGATGAATATACAAGAAATAAATCGATATAATAAATAAAAAAATAAATTTTATGTATTTATTTATTTATATTATTAATAATTATATATATTTATATATATATATTTATTTTTTTTTTTTTTTCTTAATAGACGTGATCCTCTACATCCAGAGGTGGAGTACATATTTCGTCGTGGCAAAGGAATTCAAATTTTCGAAATTCGAAATTATCGACGACTGACAAGAATTGTTAAAGGATTCCCCGCAGATAATTGGCTAGCTGCTGGATGGATACATAAGGTATTTATTTATTTTATTTATTTTTTTATTTATTTTATTTATTTATTTTATTTATTTGTTTATTTATTTATTTATTTTGTTTATTCTATTTTTTTATTTATTTTATTTATTATAAAGGTAATAATAATAATAAGTGTTGTTTAATAATAATAATAAAGAATAATAATAATTATAATGCAAGAATAAATATTTATCTTTTTTTTTATCTTTATTCCTCCTGTATATTTATTTATTTAGGAGGAAGGAGAAGGAGTAGCAAAGGAGACATTTGATTGTCTCCTTATGGAGGTATTAAGCCAAACAACAGATTTTATCTTTTGTCTCCGTGCTCTCTCCGGTAAACTAGGGTTTAGGGTTTAGGGTTTAGGGTTTAGCGTTTGTGCTGTAAACAAGGAACCTGCACAGGGTATTTATTGCTGACAAACTATCAACAAACCATCACAATAAACCCTACAACTACACATTACTCTCTCAAAGTCTAGGGTTTAGGGTTTAGGGTTTAGGGTTTAGGGTTTAGGGTTTAGGGTTTAGGGTTTGTGCTGCGTGATTGTGCAGATGTGCATGAATTCTTCATTAACTGGAAGTATTGGTTTGCCTTCGATCCAACCAGTGCAGGTCTGTCTCCTGTAACCTTCCTTTCTGCTGCTGCTGCTGCTGTTGTTGCTGCTGCTGCTGTTGCTGCTGCTGCTGCTGTTGCTGCTGCAGTTTGTCTTCATGTATTTCTTGAAAATTGCCAATTCCCTTACATGAGCTACCCTAACATTATGCCCAAATAAAATAAACAAAATAAACAAAATAAATAAAATAATTAAAATAAATAAATAAATAAATAAATCAATAAATAAATCAATATATATATATATATATATATATATATATATA